CGCGCTGGGGGCCCATCAGCCTCGCCGACCACGGTGACCCCCAACGGTGGCCTCCAACGGACACGGTGACCCGCGAACTCCGACGCCACGGTGACCCCAACAGCGGCCCGTCGTCACCCACGACGGCAGGCGGCCGAAGGCGGCCCAGGTCGAGGGCCGCGGCGGCCCGCCCTCAGCGGACCTCTCCAGCCTTGAGGCGAGGCAGCCGCGAGGCGTAGTCGCTCGGGTTGCGGTCCGTCTCGGCGCGGCGGCGAGCCCAGCGAACGTTGGCGCCCACCTGCAGGGCGGCCGCCCTCCGCGCAATGCCCAGGAGTTCCCGCGACCTCGCTCGGCCGCGGCCTATAGCGAGGACATCAGACATGTTGTCCCCGAGCGACGGCAGCACGCGCGAGTGGTTCGCAGGACGATTTGCAGAAATCCTCGAGACCGATGACTGCAGCACGCGCCTCGAGGTTGTGGATCTCGCCAGGTCGGCGCCGCGCGCCGACGGCCGCGGCGCGCCAGCGGCCAGGCTCGCCCCAGCTCGGCGCGAGCCAGGGCCCGCGGCCCGCGACCTCCACGAGGTCCGGCCTCGGCCGCGAGGGCGATTGGACCAGTCGGCGGCGGCGCAGCCAGTAGGAAGTCCTGCGCCTAGACCGTGACGTCGTCGGTGACCACCGCGCCCTCGGCGCCGGGTACCAACGCGCCTCGTATAAGTCATCTCCTCGATCATCTGGCAGCTGCCCCGGGGTCGGGCTCTCTGGACACTGACCCTCCGCCTCTCACGGCACTGGGCCCGACCCTCAGGCTCCCTGCGGCTCCGTGTCGGTGATGTTCACAGCGAAGACCGGGGAGCTGGAGCCAGAGAAGCACGCGACGCGCGCGGTTCTCCTGCCCAACTCCGACACGGCCAGCGCCAGCAAGCCCTGGGCAACCCGCAGCTCCACGACCACAGCCCCGTCGAGGGGCCGAGGCGGGCCCGGCCCGTTGCCCGCGAACTGGTAGACCGAGCAGAGGCAACTGAGGAGCGCACGCCGCAGGCTGAAGTGGTCGAACAGGTGGCCGATGAGCCTGCGAAGCTGGCACGGCGCGATCCGCCGCAGCTGGCAGATGTCGCCGAACGCCAAGCACTGGCGCCACATCCATCTCGGTCTCGGGGTGAGGCTGCGTTTCCGCCCTTCGATCTGCCTGCCGACGAGCGCGCAGTCGGTCGCGGGCTCGGCCTCCTCATGGAGCACGAACCCGATCGTGGTGAGCTCGACCTGCAACGCCATGAACAGCTCGAGCGCGCCCTCCGGGCTCTCGCCGATGATGTTGCAGTTGTCGACGTAGGGGGCCACGACGGCGGCGGCCCCCTGTCCTTGAGGGTAACCACTGGTTGGCCCAGCCGCCGCAGAGCTCGGCGCGACGCCGCCTCCAAGCCACCGCGGCAGGAGAACGTCGCCCAGAGCAGCTCGCGGCCCTCGACGGGCATGACCTGCCGCGCGCCGTCGTCGCAAACCTCCGCGATGCCGACGTCGGAGGCGGTGGCCGAGGCGCCGAGCGAGGGCCCCGGAACTAGTAGAACCCACCCTTGAGGTCCATGCCCGCGCGCGAGAGCTCGAGCACGTCGCTGCCATCGGACGCCTCGTCGCACGCCGAAAGGTCGGCGGCCGAGCCGGGGCGAGGTTCGAGAGCGCGCCTGGCACGGCCAGCTCCGACTTCGGCGGTCGCCAGTGGAATTGGTTCGACGGCCCGCAGCCCAGAGCCAGTTGTCGTTCTGCTCCTCGACGAAGAACGCGCCGCGCTCGCAGCGGGCGCGCCGTCTCCGCGATATGAGGCCCGCGCGATCCAGCCGCCGAACGAAGTCACTGCGCGCCTCGAGCGAGCATCCCAGGCGGGGGTCCCAGCGCGGCGCCACAGGGCCCTGGATCTGCGCCATCTCCGACGGAGGCAGCACGATGAGAGAGCCAGGGTCCTCGAAGAACGGTTGGCACTCTCGGCTGGGCGGCTCAAGCACGAGCGCCCGCCCCGGCTGACAGCTGGCCATGGCGTTGAGCGACGCCGCGGCCCCTTCCACAAGCTCCTCCGATCGCACCGGCCGGAGCCGTCGCCGGGGCAGGTGGCGGACGCCGCCTCGACCTTCCGCGGCGCCAAGAAGGCGCGGGAATAACGGAAAATGGCCAGCGACGACCACTCCGACCCCGAGCGCCTGACGCGAAAAGCACCAGTCACATGCCCTTCTCCGTTGCCTTTGGGGCCCGACGGGCCCTCGCGCTTGCCCCCCTCCTCCCGGCGCAACCTCTGCTGCTTCGCGGTAAATGCGTTCCACTTCTGCTCCTCCGCTGCCCCCTCGCGAACTTCCCTGTCAACGCGCCGCCCGAGAAATCGAGCGTCGACATGACTATGAAAGACCCCCCCTTGAACTCGACATTCTTGGGGCTGCGGGCCACCGCCTAGTGGGGCACCGAGAGCAGGTCCCCGCGCTTGATCACCATTGCGCGGTCTGGGTTGACGCCCGACGACCTCGCCCAGCGCTCGTGGAAGCCAGGCAAGTGCTCGTTGGCTGCGTGCGCCGTCGTGAGCACCTCCTGGATCGCTGCGGCCCGGCGACGGCCAGTCCGCTGGCGGCGGGTCTGGCAGGGAGCTCATCTCGGCGATTGCATCCTTCAGCCTGGCGAAGCGGGCCCGACCCATGTCCCTCTGGGTCGGCAGGATGCGCGCGTCTTGGCCGCGGCCGCTGCTCTTCTCCACCGGCCAGTCCCCGAAGTCCTGGGCCGCCAGCCGTTCGCGAAGGTCCAGCACCGTTCGCCGACGTCGCCCACCTCGGCAAAGCCCGCGCTTCCCCAGATCATCACGCAGAGCGCAATCGAAGTTATCTCCACCAGAGCGACCTCCCCGAACTGCTCGCACTCCCGCTGGGTCCGCGAAACGTCACTCCGTGATGAGGGCCAGGCCAGCAGGCTGGCCCGCGGGGCCGGCCGCTCCTGCAAGGCGGAGCGCGTCCACCAGGGCCGCGGCCTCCTGGCGGGCCGCCTGTAGCGTCGCCTCGTCGAACCGTTCGCGCCCGCGGACGTTGCCCGTGATCCTGGCAGGGCATGGCGCGCCACGGGCGACCCGCACCACGATGCGCCGAGAGAGGTCGAGCACAACCACCTCGAGGTAAAAAAGGGAGATCCAGCGGAGGTCGTCCAGCCAGTGCTCGAGGATCCGAACGCACCACCAGAAGTTGGCGTCGTCGTCGCCACCATCATGTCGTGGATGTCGGCCGCCCTCGCCATGGCTCCCGTCTAGCGTCAGCACGTCGATCAGCGGCGCCTCCACCTCCAGGCTGCCGACTCGCCAGCACCTGCCGACTCGAAGGCAGCCGACCCCGAGGAGGCCACCGAGGCAAACGACGGCCCAGGCGGCGCCACCGCGGGCGGAGCGGCCGCGCGCTGGCCGCCAACTGGCGGCCCGGCCTCCAGCGCCGGGAGCGGCGCCCCGCTGCGGCGCTGCGGCCGCCTGCAGCCGGCGCTCAGCCGGCCGACGAGGAACGCGAGCGGCAGCAGCCCCTTCCGCTGAACGCCACCGAGAGCGCCAGCCCTCGCCACAGGACGTCGATGAGGCCGGCGGGCGCTGGGGCGTTGGCTTCCCAGCAGGCGCGCAACTGCACACCACCGCTGGTCACTCCGCCGCGCGCTCCGGGCAAGGCGCACAGCCCAGCGAGCAAGTTGGGCAAACATGTCGCGGCTCGCACACGCACAGGGGCTGCTCGGGAGCGGGGGCTCGCGATAGCCACCCTCCGAGCGAAGCCGCCGCGATTTCTCGCGCGAAAGATGGGAGACGCGCGGCACCCCAGGCAATGCTGCATGGCCGAGCCTCAGGCCTCCATTGCAAGCCTGAAGCTCGAGAAAAGGACTACATTAGCACTAGGAAGGGGAATCTACTGTGCAGGCAATTTTTATATACACACACATATAGATAGATAGATATATATATAGATAGATAGATAGATATATAGATAGATAGATAGATAGATAGATAGACGGACGCCGCCAGCCGAGCCAAGCAGAGGGCGCGATGGCGCTTGGGGGGGTGCGATGGCGCCGGGGGGGGGTATACGTAGTTAGATGGATGCACCGCGCCAACCAAGCAAAGCCGACGATGCGACGGCGAACGCTGTTTGAAAATCCCACCAGCCCTTTCGGCGACAGATGGTCCAATGACATTATTTTTTTCCTCTTCCCGAAACCATCTTCCCCTCCGGAGAGGGGAGCCCCAAGAGGGCGCCAAGAGGGTCCCAAGAGGGCCCCAAGACCCCCAAAAGAAGCCCAAGAGGACCCCGAGACCGCCTAAAAGAGACCCGAGGGGCCCCCAAGAGGCCCCCGAGCGGCCTCAGAGAGCCCAAGATGACCTCCAAGATGGCTCAGATAGCCCGAGCTGGTTCAAAATGGCTCCCAAGATGATCCAAACGACCCAAAGACCGCTCCAAGAGCGCTCCAAGAGAGCCCCAAGAAGCGGTTTGCGGGCTTCTGTGGGGGGAGCTGAGTTTGGGACCCCCCCATCCTGTAGTCGATGGCCTCCAATATGATTCCAAGAGGGCCCCCAACACCCAGAGAGCACCAGCAGCAGCAGCCGCAAGAAAACCTCTAGATGGTTCCATGAGTCCTCGTCCGCGTCGTCCTCATCCTAGTCCTCGTCCTAGTCCTCGTCCTCATCCGCGTCCTCGTCCTCCTCGTCCTGCTAGTCCTCCCTCTCAACCTCCTCTTCCCCTCGCCCCCTCGCGGCCCCCAGTGGTGGCCCGAAGAGGCCTTCCAAGGCCACCCTCTTGCTCCCAGAGATCTCTCGTTTCACCCTGGTTGCTCGTTTTATTCCCCTAGATGTGTCTCTTCGTTCCTTTTCCCGTCAGCTCTCATGGGCAGGGCTTCTGAATGGGCTGGTGTGGATACGCGAAGCGTGAAGAGTTGACCAGAAAGGAGACAGGAGAGATCCCCTCATGACGAATACAAGCCAGAACATGTATTTACTTCGTTTGGCGGTGATGACCCGTGGGGGGAATATCACTCGTTCCTCCTCCCTCGTTCCCTCCCTCCTCGTCCTCCCTCCCCCATCGCTCCTCGTCTTCCGCCCTCAGCGCACATCCTGCACTTCCGCAGCCCTCCTCCTCGTCCTCCCCCTCCTCCCTCCAGGGCTCCCTGGGCCAGCAGCTCCTCCAGAGTAGCCTGCAGGATCGCGAACGCCCGCTCCAGCGAGGGGTCCCAGAGCTGGAGGCTGCGAGATGCAACTTCTGCTCGGGCCTCGCAGCGTGAGGGAACAAAAAGGGCACTTCCTGGATGGACGTCTGACGTGTGGAGACAGGAGCCACCAAGGCACAACGCAATCAATCTCTTCAACGTCTGTAAAATGTCCACAAGCTGCCCATGCACACCCGGCAGAAGGCGGGAGCCTGCATCGTTTCCCCCCTCCGAGGCTCAGAAATATTACGATACGACACACGCAGACACAGACACAGACACGGACACAGACGCAGACACACGCACGTCACTCTTGCGTCGGCGGCTGGGCAGAGTCGCTGCGCTGGCGATGAGGCGCAACTGGGATGCAGGCCGCAGTGCGCGGGGGAGAGAGGAAGAAACCAGGCGCCACGCACGCACGCACGCACGCACGCACGCACGCACGCACGCACGCACGCACACACACACACGCACACACACACACAAACACACACACACACACGAACACACGCACGCACGCACGCACACGCACACACAACACACACACACACGCACGCACGCACGCACTCACATACACACGCACACACGCACGCACACACAGATACACATCTTCGGCGGCCGCGCACCTCGCGTCACGGCGGTCACATTGGGCGCGTGTAAGCGGCAAGCGGAGCAGCCAACACACACACACACATACACACACACACACACACACGCACACACAAACACACAAACACACACACACACACACATACACACATACACACACACACTGACAGACACTGACAGGCATCGGACACAGTGTCGTGCCAGGGCGGCGGCCGAACGCGAATTGGGACGCGAGGAGGACATTCTCAGACTCCCCAACAAGTCATTGCACACAAGGAGTCTTCATTCTATCGGTACGAAATTCAATGAGTCCACCGAGGTTGTCGCCGCGTCGCCGCCCGTGGCCGCCTCGCCGCCGCCCGCTTGGGGAGCCCGCCGAGGTTTCGCCGCGTCGCCGCCTCGTGGCCGCCACGTTGCCGCCCGCTTGGGGGGTCCGCCGAGGTCTCGCCGCGACGCGGCTGGAGGCCGCCCCGTGGCCGCCTCGTTGCCGCCCGCTTGGGGGGTCCGCCGCAGATTCGCCGCGTTCCCGCCCGTGTCCGCCCCGTGGTCGCCCGCCGCGCTCGGGGGGTCCGCTGAGGTTTCGCCGCGTTGCACCCCGTGGCCGCGCCTTTGCCGCCCGCCGCGCTTGGGGGGGTCCGCCGAGATTCTGCCACGGTGTCGCCCGTGGCCGCCGCGTTGCCGCCCACCGCGCTGTGCGTTCACTTAGGGCTCTTTGCGTGCACACGAAGAGTGCGAGAGCTCACTGTTTGGGGTCCACGCTGGCGAGCACTATCGGACTAATCGGGTCTGATGTTAAGCTGTGTGCGATGCAAGCTGATGTGGTGCAGTCTACGTGGTGCACAGCACGCACGAGGTAGCCACGAGGCGAAACCCTGGCAAACAAATACACTCGACGCACAGGGCGGCCGCGAGGCGGCCAACAACCGCGCATCAGGCAAAACACAAGCACACCCGTCCGATTGCGTAGGTGAGCCACGCAAGAGGCCTCCCGAGATTCCCCGAGTGGGCCCCAGGAGAGCCACAATTGGCTCCCTGCCAGAAATCGTCTTCGCAGCGAAAGAGCCGCAACTGATTTGCTGGCGGACTTCTAGACGCATGCGTCTGCACTCTCCTGGTCGGTGCAATTCGCTTGGGGATCGTTTCCAGATGGGCTGGCGGGGATACTTTTATTGCTCGTTCGCGAGCGTCGCGGTCCAACCGCGCGCCGTCAAGAGAAGAGGCAGACGCAACAAGAGTACGGCGGGCCCACGGACTGCGAACCAGCGGGCGCCAGGTGGTCTCGGCCGTGCAACCTGCTAGGAACGCTCAGCAAAGGAATCCATACGTCATGCAACACAGGCTATAAGCTCAAGGTGTCGGCACCAAGAGGCATGAGGAAAAAAAACAGGCAGGCTACAGAAAGGTTAGATAGGAGAGAGAGTGGGGGCTTGCGTGTCTCCATCCGCTCAGCTCTTGGCGAACCACCTCGCCTCATGCCAGCTCCCGCGAGGCTCTTGAGTGAGGCCTCCTGAAGGGACCCCAGACGGCGCCAGATGGCCTCAATATGGCCTCGAGACGGTGCGAATCGGCCCAAGATTGCACGACGACGGCAGATCGATGTGGCCAAGGGGGCTCCACGAGGCCCTCCAAGAGGGGTCCACCATCGTTGCCAAACGTATATGTATGTGTATACATACACATATTACGAGGCCTCCAAGATGAGACGGCTCAACAAACCCCAAGACGATCTCAGAGGCCGTCAAGATGGCCAAAGATGCAGAGACCAATGAATGCCATGTCCGTGATTCTTTGGCGAGCTTAGACGCACTCGCCTTGCAGGGCTCGTGACCCCCGCCCAAAACAGTCACCAAAGGCCTCGGGCGACTGCTTTGGGGGCGGGGCTTGCTCCGAGGACCCCAGCCCGGGGTCGGGCGCGCAGAGCTCTGGGGAGCCAAGCGGCCGAGTTGGTTTGGGGGCCGCCGTGCTTTGGCGGGGGTGTGCGGGGGGCGGCTCGGGGTCGGCCTGCTCTGGGCAGCGCGCGGCCCAGGCCGACTTGGGACCGATGCCTCCGCGGGAGGCTCGTGGAGTGGGCGCGGCGCCGTGTGGTGGAGCGAGCAGCTCTGGGGAAGAAGAGAGGCCGCCGTCCCGATGTTGGGGTCTTCCGCGCCTTTGGCCTCGCGAGATGGCCGAGGCTGGTCCGCTCGTCTCTGTCGTCGGCGTGCCTGCTTTGCCGACGAGAAGGGCCAGGTCAGGAGCCTTCGACCTGCTTTCAAGAGGCTCTCGCATGAGCCCAAGACCCGAGCTGACTGGCGATCGAAACTCGTTCGGTTAGAGAAGGGCCAGCACCCGACTGAGAAGTAAATGTTGCAGTTTCCTTTGGAGGTCGTGCTCGGACAACTTGGACGCGCCTCGCTGTCGCTCGTCCTCTACCTCCCCCCTCGGTCCTCCATCGCCACCCCCCCTTCCCCTCTCCTCCCCCTCCCCCTCCCACGCTCCCCCCTCCCTCCCGCCCTCCCTCCCTCCCCCACTCAGAGGAACAAAAAACGGCACAGACATAAACGTTCGCCGGTCCGCGCGAGTACGATCACTCACCCCTCTCCCCGCCCTCGTAGATCCCTTCCCTCGCATTATGCTGCTCCCGTCGTACTGGAGGACCACATCCCAACAAGCATGTCGAGCACCCCAGACAAGTGCCGACAGAGTGCCGAAACGGCGTCGGGCGAGTGCCCCCCCAGGTCCCGACGCGCGAAAGCCCTCGAGCCTCGGTGCGTTCGCCTGGAGCTCGAAGCTCTTTCTGGTGGCCGAGGCCAAAGTAGGCTGGAGCACCACAACCCCCACCACAACAACAAGCGGCATAGACATAAGCTTTCGCCGGTCCGCGCGGATACGATCCCTTCCCTGTCCTCGCCGGATCCCCTCCTCCTCCTTCTCCTCCTCCTCCTCCTCCTCCTCCTCCTCCTCCTCCTCCTCCTCCTCTCACTCTCTCTCCCCGCCCTGGTAGATCCCTTCCCCTGCACCGAGGGGGTCTTGACCGCAGTCGCGCGGGCCGCCTCGCCGATCATGTCCTGGAGCTCGAACTGGGCGCTCAGCCTCGCCTCGTCCATGGTGACCTGCCGCGGCGCGGCGCGAGGCCCAGGCGCTGGGCTCGGCGGTGCCCTGCTCTCGCCCTCCCCCCCGTGCTGAGCCCTCCTCCTCCACATGCTCCTCTCCTCCTCCTCCTCCTCCTCCTCCTCCTCCTCCTCCTCCTCCTCCTCCTCCTCCTCCTCCTCCTCCTCCTCCTCTCCTCATTGCGCAATGCGCGCGCGCCTGATGTATGGCGCCCCCCGGGAGGAGGAGGAGGAGCTCAAGCCTTCCGCAAGAGGCCCAACCCGGAGACCCCAGGACGCCCACCGACGCTTGGCGCGGGAGCGCCACGCTCTCCACAGCAGAGCCTCGGAGCCCAAGACACCCAGGGCACCCTGGAGGCAAGCAGGGTGCTTCTTGGCATGGGCCTCCACGGTACTCTCCTCCTTCCCCCCCTGCTGCTGCTGCTCCTGGTCCATTTCAAAACGGGGCTCTCGCCCGAATTGCAGGGCCATGGTGCGCTCGTTCTCAAGGGGGCACTCCCCGCTGCTCCTGTGGAGGTACATGGGGAGGGGGGCTGGGGACGAGTGGCGTGTTGCAGCATCGTTGATGCATCTTGGGTTTTCTCTGGTCCTCCTCCTCCTCCTCCTCCTCCTCCTCCTCCTCGAAGCTCCAATCTCAGACCTGGACCCTGTGATGCTTCAATTCGGCCCAAGCATGTGGAGAATGCCCTCCCAAGTGGGAGACCCGTGCGATACCGAGGGAGGACGGATGATTGAGGAGGCGGAGGAGGACGAGACCCCGAACTTCCTGGAGGAACTCCGACGCACCAGTCCCCGACCCAGAGCCTCTGGATCTCTGTGGCCAGACACGGACCTCTGTGCGACTCTCCCCTCGGGACCACGGTTGCGCTGTCGTCGGAACGGTTGGCACTGTGCTGCTTCGCGCCACCCTGGGCCTCCTCAAACCGCTCTCTGCTCAGACGCGGAATCGGAGGCAGAAGCTCACGCTCCGGCAGCGAACAAAAGCGGCAGTCCGAGGTAGGCAGAACCTGCATTGCAAAATCCGCTGCAGTGCAAAACAACAGCAATGCAACAAACAACTGGTGTCAGGGCTTAACCTAGACGGTGTTTTTCGTTTTCGTTTTGTTTTCGTTTTCCCTCGCTTTTGTCTCCAACCCGCCTTTGCGGCAAAACGAAGTCGAAACGAAAACGGCCCACGAAATCACCAAAAACACAGTTTAGGTCCAGCCCTAAACTGTGCTGCTGTCGTCGTGGTGGTTGGCAGTGTGCGCTTCGCACCGCCCTGGACCCTCTCAAATCAGATCGGCTCGCACGCGGAATCATAAGCTTAAGCTCGAGCACTAGCAGCGAGGCAGCGACACTCCGAAGCTCAAGCTCAAGGCTGAAGCGTCAAGCATACTCGTTTGAAGCATGGCGTCCCGCCGTGCGCTACAGCGCTAAGATCTTTATAAGCATGAATTCAATCACTAAAAACGACACGGTGGCTCTCCAAGCAGGCCGGAACTGCTTTGCAAATACATGCAATGCAAACGACACTGCGCAAAACAACAACAATTTTGCTTCCATGATCTCGAATCACATCTGGCTCGCACGCATAATCATGAACATAATCGTAAGACCAAGACCTAGCTTCTAGCAGCGAAGCAGCGGCTCTGCGAAGCAGATCAAAACTGCATTGCAAAACAAGCCCTGCAATGCAAAAATAACTGGAATGCAAAAACAAATGTGATGCTGTCGTGGTTGGCGCTGCGCGAGTCGCACCTCCCTGGACCTTCTCAAACCACAGTCGGCTCGCACGCAGAATCAAGCTCTGGCAGCGAAACAGTGGCACTCCGAAGCTTGAGCTCAAGGCTGAATCTTCAAGCTTGCTCTTTTGACGCTTGGCGTCCCGCCGTGCTCTACACGATTGAATGCTTCATCAGGAGGGGCCTGAGGGGACTTGGGACGGGAGAGTATATGGCAACCTCGTTGATGAACCCAGGCGTTCCTTCGGTCCGCGTGTTCCTCCTCGTCTTCCCCCTCCTCCTATCGTCCTCCTTGCCATCTATCGTTCGTGTTGGTGGCGGTCGTCATCGTCGCCGCCTTTGTCAACTGTCAACGTCGTCGCTCTCCTGTTCCCTCCATCTCCCTCGACGCCCTCCTCCACTCAACTAGAGGTCTCCTAGATGGGGTCCGAGTAGATGGAGTCGAAGGATCGCGCCGCATCGCCAACGCATCGCCAACGCATTGGCGACGTCGGCTGTGCATCGGCGACGTCGGCGTGGGGAAACACGGGCCACACATCGAGCCGCAGCGTCGATGCATCGGCGATGTGGTACGATCCTCCGACCCTATCTACTCGGAGTCCATCTAGGAGGCCAACCCCCCCCCACTTGGTAATCCCACTGCCCTGGGGGGAGGAGGAGGAGGAGGAGGAGGAGGAGGAGGAGGAGGAGGAGGAGGAGGAGGAGGAGAGGAAAAGGAGGATGAGAAGGAGGATGAAGGAGGAGCAGAAAAGGAGGATGAGAAGGAGGATGGAGGAGGAGGAGGGAGGAGGAACAGGAGAGGAGGAGGAGGAGGAGGGGGAGGAGGAGGGGAGGAGGAGAGGAGGAGGAGGAGGAGGAGGAGGAGGAGGAGGAGGAGGAGGAGGGAGGGGGAGGGAGGAGGAAGGAGGATGTGACCACCCTGCCAATCCACCCTCCAGGGGGGCGGCACCGCCACGCAGTAGAGCGCGGGCAGCTGGCCCACGGGGCTGGCGAGTCGCCAGAGGTGTCTGGGCACCTGGGGGGCGTCAGGAGGCCCGGGGCCGCGGGAGGAGGGGGAGGACAGAGAGGAGGAGGAGGCGCAGACAAGGAGGAGGAGGGGGAGGACAGAGAGGAGGAGGATGAGGAGGAGGAGAGGAGGAGGAGGAGGAGGAGGAGGAGACAATAGGAGGAGGGGGGGGGGGGGAGGGGGAGGAGGAGGACGAGGAGAAAGAGGAGGAGAGGGAGGAGGAGAGGAGAAGGAGGAGGAGGACAACGGGGAGCAGAGGAGGAGGAGGAGAGGAGGACAACGGAAGCAGGAGGAGGAGGAGGAGGAGGAGGAGGAGGAGGAAAAGGAGGAGGGGGCGGGAGGAGGAGGAGGAGGAGGTGGAGGAGGGAGGAGGAGGAGGAGTAGGGGGAGGAGGAGGAGGAGGAGGAGGAGGAGGAGGAGGAGGATGAGGAGGAGGAGGAGGAGGAGGAAAGGGCACGAGGAGGAAGAGGACGATGAGGAGGAGGAGGACGAGGACGAGGAGGACAAGCATGAGGGGGAGGGAGGAGCAAAGGGGGCGACACGGAGGAGGGAGGTGGAGCCCCTGGCCTCAGGCAGGTGAATCCTGCCGAGGGCACGGAGCGCCAGATCGCGTGGCGCGTGTACCCTCTCCTTTGACAGCGAAGCGATGGGGCACGTCAGAAACGACAAGGCGTGGGGTGCTGTAAGCCGGCCTGGCCTTTGTCGGCAGCAGCTGCAACAGTGATGGAAGCGGCCCGCGAGGAGATGGAACGGTCGGGGGTGGCGGAAATAGGTTGATCTGATGATTCAGACTTGAGCTGAAGAAACACGCCAAGAAGGGCACAACGGCGAGGGTGACAGCACGGACATGCCACGTGAACACCATGGGCTATACGCATGCCTTGGAATGGAACGCGACATCGCAGGATTGCTAGATACAGGACAAGGATGTGAGCCAATAAACAGAGGCGATACAACAACACATGTACTGTTTTTCAAAGGAACAACCAGCCACAGGTAGCGACAACAACCAACCATCAGAAAACTCTCGACAAAGATGGTGGGGCCACCGCAACCAGTCCGTACCCCATGAGCACAGTGGACACCAAGAGGCCCCACGCGTTGGACGCAGCAATGCACCTCGGCGCGGAGCGAGCTGCTCAACCCTCACACTCAATTCGCAGCTCAATGTGCGAACAGTCATCCGAGATGCCCTCCCTTTTTTTTTAGGGGCAACGTTAGGGGGGACTGGCCCAGATCGACCTGGAATCGGCGATAAGCTCCCGATAGCGAATCTGTGCGTTCCTGGGCGGAGCGGGCGAATCGGGTTCTGTGTCGGAGATGCATGGGCGATTGGAAATCAATGTAACCCCTCCCGAGTCTGTCCCCCCTAACGTTGCCCTGGAATAACCACGAACTGATGCGAAGTTCCCGTGGTCGTCAGGGTCTGGCGCGCTTCCGTCTTTTCCAACCCGGTAGCCTCCCATCGTCGTGAAGTAGTGGGTGAAGAAACAAGCCGAAATCCCCACAAGAAACGCACATTGCATCATATCAGCTTCTGCGCCGCAGCTCGGCCAACACAAACACAACCGCTGCTACGACGTCATAAACTTGACCCTCTCATCGATCGCTGACCGCAGCTGCGCAAGAACTAACATAGACCACTCCGCAAACAAACGATTGACATCGGATGCGCACCGTGAAACGCAAGAACTATACGCAACTACACCACTGCAAATATATAGACGTTGGGAACACATATGCCGTGGAGGACACTGCTCTCAACATGAGTTGCGGTTGCCACTCGTTTCTCCAGCTCCGATAGCAATGACGCCATGCAAATTCTCCATGCGGGTCGGCGGAAAGCGATCGCCCTGAAAGCGTCAACAAACATCCAACAATGGGAACACAACAAGACGCCGCAAGCGCAAATGTTCCTGTTCACCGTCGACCGAATTGGATTGCATTGCAGACGCACGACGTGTCGCAAATCCGCCACCTCGCCCCCTGGCTCGCTGAGGCGTGGAAGAATGGCAAGCAACGCCTGGTCGGGTTTTTTGACTTCGAACGAAGGGGGTCCTCCCCATCCCTACCCGCAGAATCTTGCATGAACCGCCCCTCTCCGTTCCGAGGCCACCTCCCCCGTGCCCGCTCGGGGATGCGCCTCCAGCATGGCAATGAATGCCTAAACCCCCATTCCGCGCGTGCCCATTCGAAGATGGTGCACTTCCCGCGTGGCAGCGAATGTCTGAACCTTCCGCCTGCGCGTGCCCGCTCGAGGATGGTGCACGCCCCGCATGGCAGCGAATGCCTGAACCCTCATTCCATGCTCGCCCGCTCAAGGCTTGTGCACTTCCCGTACGGCTGCTCACTCCTGGACCCCTCATCCCACGAGCACCGGCTCAAGGATCGCGCACTTTCCGCATTCCCAGGCACAGTTCCCAACCGCTCCATGACCTCCCAAGCCGCGACCCCGCGTTTTAAACAATGTAAGCGCGTCCCGAGCTCATAAGACGGCCAACGCACGCAACCAAGGAGACCTAAATGGCCCGGGTGTCTCAAAGACGGCCCGCGATGGCCCCAAGGCGGCGGAATATTCATTCGAGGCGGTCCAGGATGCCTCCACGAGGGCCCAACATTGCCACACGAGGGCATCCCACAGGGCCCGAAGCCGCCAAGCTCAGGGATGTCTCGTGGGTGTTTGGATGGTGTTATCCTTATCGCCTGTTCGGGCTGTCGCCAGCTCAAGACGGCCCAAGGAAACTCCACGATGACCCAAGAGGCATCCAAGACGACCCCGATTCTGCCCAAAGGGGCTTCCCGAAGAACCTAAGACAGCCTTAGGAAACCCTTCGGCGGTCGAAAACGGCATCAAAGCGCCCCCCAGATATCCACCATACGACCAAGCAGGCACCAAGACGGCCAAAGAGAGCCCCACGTCGGCGTAAGAGGGCCCCCACACTGCCCAAGCGGGCCCCAAAGGCACCCTCAATACTGCCTCACAGGAAACAAAGACAGACCCAAGACGACCCAAACGAGTTCCATCATCAGCATCATCATCACAATCCTCCTCCTCCTCCTCCTCCTCCTCATCATCATCATCATCATCATCATCATGATCATCATCATCATCATCATCATCATCATTCTCATCATCATCATCATCATCATCATCATCATCATCATCATCATCGTCATCATCATCATCATCATCATCATCAGCATCATCATCGTCATCATCATCATCATCACCACCACCATCATCATCATCATCATCATCACTATCGTCATCGTCATCGTCATCGTCATCATCATTATCAACATCATCATCCGCACCAAAATCATCATCATCAACAACATCATCATCATCGTCAACACCGTGACCGCCACCATCACCATCGCCGTCATCAACAATAGCACCACCACTAGCACCATAATCACCCATATATTTATCAGGATATTCAGCATCATCAGCATCAACATCAATAGCACTATCAGTGTCAGCTTCTTCAGCTTCATTGCCATCTTCATGTTCAGCAACATCATCACCACCAGCAGCAGCAATGTCACTATTGGCATCATGACAGGCTCCTGCCTGGCGGGGCCCCTGCCCCTGCAGCCACCTGCGCAAAGCACCTGGGCGCCGCTCTCGGTCGCGAAGGCGATCCTGTCCGCCTCGCAGAAGCCCGCGCTCGGCCGGGACTCGGTCTCGGAATTCGGGCCCATTTCCTCTGCCTTGGCCTGGCCCGTCCCCAGGCGGCGGCGGCGCCGGCTGGCGCCTCTGAGCGCAGCAGCAGCGCGCTCGCCTGAGGAGCCTGCAGATACCTTGAAATGCCCAAGGACAGCACGCGCGGCCGCCAGCTCTCGCCAGCCCTGTTGGAGAAATCTTGGCCGAGTCCGCCACGTTAATCTAAGCGCCGTGGTCGACCACGCATGTAGAGCAGACGCGCACAATGTCCTTCTCGCTTTTGGGGAGGGCGCAGGGCGTCGCCGCGCAGAGGCGCGCCGCGCCTATGCCGTCCTCGTCTCGGGTGGCCTCCAGTTCCGCCTGAAGGCATCGGTTCGAACTGCCCTTCGCCTCCCTGATGCGACAGACATGCCCGTGGCGGGTGATGCGGCTGCCTTCGAGGGTCCCCTGCCCGAGCCGGGCCAATGCGCCTCCTGACCTGACGACGAAGCTTTTCGGCATCAACTTCTCCGCTCCTCCTCCCCGCGCACGCGCCCCATTCTTCGCGTAGTGCTCGCCCGCGGCTAGCGTCTCGTCTGGCCCTCGCCATGCGAGAGCAGCGGGCTGGTCTCCGTCCAGAGCAGCCCGCACGTCGTGCCCAGTCTGGTCGTAGTCGTAGTAGTAGTTGTAGGAGTGGTAGTAGTTGTAGTGGTCCTCCATCGAGCACTCGAGGTTCTGGCCGAGGTTCGGCGCAGCGCTCGGCGCATAGGCTGACCCGCTGGGTTCCTCAAGGCGCTTATCCGTGGGCGCTGCCTCCGCGGGTCCCGCGAGCTGCGCGTCTGGGCCCGCAGTGGCTAGCGTCTAGCTGCGTCTCCTCGCCCGTCGCGGCGAACCTGGAGGGGTCATCCTGGTGCGCGCTCGCAGCTGCCTCGCCGTCGTCCTCTGACCTGCAGTCACTGTCCTCAGCTCGTGCATGGCCGCTCTCTGGTCCACGGTACGTAGCCGTCGCGGAGAACCCAGCGTACAGCCCTACGCCCAGCGACGCGCCCAACCATGCTAGCACCGCGGGCACTCGAGCGCGTGGATCTGCTGAATTTGGCGGCCGCGGCAGGCCGCGCGACCCCTCCGGTCGCCGCCTGCACTGGAGGGGGGTCCTGGCCCCGCCACTGCCCAGCATTCCCCATACTGCTGGCCCGAGCCACGGGCCGGGCAGGCGAGCTATGGCCCCGCCTGGCCACCCCCAAAAGCGGAGGTGTTGTGGCCCCAACGACCACTTAAGCCAAGTGCGACGGAGGAGGAGATGAAGGAGAGAGAGAGAGAGAGACAGAAAGAGAAATACAGAGAGAAAGAGATACACAGGAGACGGGGCCACACAAGATGAGGAAACCCTCTGTTCTCACGAACGTCCACTCCTCCTCCTCCTCCTCCTCCTCCTCCTCCTCCTCCTCCTCCTCCTCCCTCCCCTGCCCCTCCTCCTCCTCCTCCCGTCCTCCTCCTCCTCCTCCTCCCCCTCCTCCTCCTCCTCCTCCTCCTCCTTCCTCCTCCTCCTCATCCTCCTCCTCCGCCCTCCTCCTCCTCCTCCTCCTCCTCCTCCTCGTCCTCCTCGTCCTCCTCGTCCTCCTCGTACTCCTCCTCGTCCTCCTCGTCCTCCTGGTCCTCCTGGTCCTCCTCCTCCTCCTCCTCCTCCTCCTCCTCCTCCTCTCCTCCTCCTCCTCCTCCTCCTCCCCCTCCTCCCCCTCCTCCGCCCTCCTCGTCCTCCTCCTCCTCCTCTCCTCCTCGTCCTCCTCGTCCCTTCTTCTCCTCCTCGTCTTGTCCTCCTTCCTCCTCCTCCTCCTCCTCCTCCTCCTCCTCCTCCTCCTCCTCTTCCTCCTCCTCCTCCTCCTCCTCCTCATCCTCCCTACTCATTCTCCTCGTCTTCCTCTTCCTCCTCGTCGTCGTCCTCCTTCTCCTCCTCGCCCCTCAAGCCACTTGGGCTCGAGCACCAAGTCCTCCGCCCCGACGGAGGCCCGCGTTCTAGTCCATCCCAGTGCCTTCGTGCGGCGCTTGAGGGATATCTTCACCTGTCTGTCCCCCACATTCAGTTGAGGATAACGAGAGCTGGGAAAATTCATTGCATCAATATGGGCAAGCCACAGAATGTGCAGTCTCAACGTGCATGGTCGCGGTGCAGCCACTGCAAGACATGTGAGTACAACGATCGCCTGCAGATGAGCGACAATCGGTGCCCACGCTGTTCTCACAAAGTTCGGCTATCCGTTCACAAGGCCAGTCGGTCGAGGTCTCCCAGTTCGGAGCGAGGTGATCGGCACGTGCACTTCGAGGACGACAAGGTGGGCACCCCGCGCGGCGGTCGCCGCGGCGGCCAGGGTGGCAAGGCCACTCAGCAGCAGGAGATCGCGGCGCTGCTGGAGCAGGCGTTGGCCCAGTCAGCCGATGCCGAGCTCAAGGCAGTGCTGCGGGCGCAGAGGGAGCG